CAGCAACCATGATCATCTTCCTCTGTGTCAGGCATGACTTCAACCACCAGAGAATTTGTCCCTGATACCCACTGATTCCAGTTTTGCTAGGACTCCTTGGTGCCACATTTGGTCAAATATAGCCTTGATGTTACCTCACCTGTGGAATTCAGTTCTTTTGTCCATGTTTGGACCAGGGCTGTAATGAGACCAGGAGCGGAGTGGCCCTGGCGGAACTGGGCGTCACTGAGCAAGTCATCGCTGAGCAAGTGCTGCTTGATAGCACCGTTGATGATAGCTTCCAGTACTTCACTGATCGGGACTGGACTGACTGGACGGTAATTAGCAAGGTTGGATTTGTCCTGCTTTTTACGTACAGGACATAGGTGGGCAATTTTCAATGTTGCCACATAGATGCCAGTATTGTTACTTTACTGGAACAGTTCTGCTAGGGTGCAGCAAGTTCTGGAGGACAAGTCAGTACTATTGCTGTAACGTTGTCAGGGCCCATAGCCTTTGCAGTATCCAGTGCTTCCAATCATTTCTTAATATTACATGGAGTGAACTGAATTGCCTGAAGACTGGTATCTGTAATGCTGAGGTCCACTGTAGGAGGCTGAGTTGGATCATCCATTCTGCACTTTTGGCTGAAGGTTGCTGCAAATACTTCAGTCTTATGTTTTACTCTTATGTGCTGGACTCTTCCATCCTCAATGATGGAGATATTTGTGAGCCTCCTCCTCCAGTGAGTTGTTTAATTGTCTACCATCATTGATGAATGGATGTGGCAGGACTGCAAAGCCTATCTGATCTGCTGTGGAATTGCTTAGCTTTGTCTATCACTTGCTATTTATGCTGCTTGGCATGCAAGTAGTCCTGTATGGTGGCTTCACCAGGTTGACACCTCATCTTCAGGTATGCCTGGTGCTTCTTCTGGCATGCCCTCCCCAGGCATGACCTCCTATATTCTTCATTAAACCAGGTTTGATCCCCTGGCTTGATGGTAATGGTTGAGTTGGTGATTTGCGGGCCATGAGGTTACAGATTGTGCTGGTATACAATTCTGCAGCTGTTGATGGCCCACAGCATGTCATGGATGCCTAGTCTTGAGCTGCTAGATCTGTTCAAAGTCTGTCCCATTTAGCATGGTGATGGTGACGCACAACATGATGAAAGTTATTCTCAACACGAAGGCAGGGCTTTGTCTCCACAAGGACTGTGCGTTGGTCACTCTTACTGGTACTGTCATGGACAGATGCATCTGCAGCCAGCAGATTCATAAGGATGAGGTCAAGTATGTTTTCCCTCTTGTTGGTTCTCTCACTACATGCTGCAGACCCAGTCTAGCAGCTATGTCCTTCAGGAGACCACTCAATCAGTAGTACTGCTTCGGAGCCACTACTGCTGGTGGACATTGAAATCCCCCACCCAGAGTAGGTTTTGTGCCCTCGCAATCCTCAACACTTTCTCCGAGTGTTGTTCAACATGGAGGAATACTGATTCATCAGCTGAGGGAGGACTGTATGTGGTAATCAGCAGGAGGTTTCCTTGCCCACGTTTAAACCGAAGCTATGAGACTTCATGAGGTCCAGAGTCAATGTTGAGGACTCCCAGGGCAACTACCTCCTGAATGTATCCAACTGTGCCACCACCTCTGCTGAGTCTGTCCTGCTGGTGGTACAGGACATATCCAGGGACGGTGATGGTAGTGTCTGGGACATTGTCTGTAAGGTAAGATTCCGTGAGTATGACTATGTCAGGCCATTGCTTGGCTAGTCTGTGATACAGCTCTCCCAATTTGGCACTAGCCCCCTGATTTTAGTAAGGGTGACTTTGCAGGATTGACAGAGCTGTTTCTGCCATTGTCTTTTCTGGTGCCTGGGTTGATGCCAGGTGATCTGTCCGGTTTCATTTCTTTGAGACTTTGTAGCGATTGGTACAACTGAGTAGCTTGCTAGGGCATTTCAAAGGGCAGTTGAGAGTCAACCACATTGCTGTGGATTTGGAATCACATGTAGGCCAGACCAGGAGAGGAAGGCAGATTTCCTTCCCTGAAGGACATTAGTGAACCAGATGGGTTTTTCCAACAATTGACAATGGTTTCATGGTCATCAGTAGATTCTGAATTCCAGATGAATTTATTGATTTCAAATTCTACCATCTGCTTTAAAATTCCACCATCTGCGATGGCAGAATTCAAACTTAGATGTCCAGAACATGAATTGAGTTTCTGGATTAATAGTCTAGCGATAAAACCACTAGGCCATTCTCCTCCCCTCTACAGTGAAGACCAATACAAAAAGAACCTGTTCAATTCATCTGCCGTGTCCTTATGTTCATCATTAATTCTCCAGACGCACTTTCTATAGGACTAATATTCACTTTGCTAATAATTTTAAAAATCTATAGAAACTCTTACTGTTTTTATCTTTCCCTCATACTACAACTTTATTCCTCCCTGTTAATCTATTAGTCCATCAGCGCTTTTTTTAAAAAAAATAATCTATCCAATCTTCTGACCTACATCTACTTTTGAGCAATTTTAAGCTTTTTCTTTAAGTTTAATACTATCTTTAACTTTCTCATTATCCAAAGATGGTGGGTCTTCCCTTTGGAATTTCTCTTTCTTATTGGAATTTATCTAATGTGTGTATTCTGAAATATCCCCTTAAATATCTGCTCTGCACCTCTTAACCCAATTTGCCAGTTCATTTTAGCTAGTTCTGCTCATAATTGTCTTTATCTAAGTTTAAAATACTAGCCTTGGTCCACTCCTCTGTCCCTCAAACTAAATTGGAAATTGAATCTTGTTAATATCATTTCCACATAGGGGCATCTTTACTATGAGGTCATTAATTAATCCTTTCTTGTTGTATAATGCCAGATGAAGTATAGCTAGCTCTCTGGTTGACTCCAAAATGTGTTCTAAGAAACTATACCAAAAATATTCTGTGAACTGATCGGCTAGACCACCTTTGCCCATCTGATTTTTCCAGTTTATATGCAACTTAAAATGCCCCATGATTATCACTGGAACTTTATTGCAAGCACCCATTATTTCTTCCTTTATACCACATCCTACAGTGTATTTACTGTTAAGGGGCCTGTACACCACAGATGCTTCTTGCTTATATCATTTCTCATCTCTACCTTTCAACTTCCTGGTTTTCTGAAATGGGGCCTTCCCTCTCTATTGTATTAACGCCATCATTAATACAGCCACCATCCCACTTTTCCTAACTTCCTGTCCTTAAGTGCCCTGTACACTTCAATGTGGAGGTCACAATCCAAGTCACCGTACAGCCATGTCTCTGATAGGGCTATCAAATCATGTTTATTTATTTCTATTTGCAGTTCAAATGTTATGTGTATTCAGACACAACTTTGTCCTTATCTGGCGATTTACTCTTGGATATCTACTCTCTATCTCTTATGGTCATGATCTGTTTATCTTTTCCAATATTAACTTTTTTTTCTCATTCCTTGTTTCTACCCTTTGATTTACAACATCTTCCCAAATTCCCAAATTTGATCTCTTGCCCCTACTGTTTAGTTTAATGCACTCTCCATTTCTGTAATCATGCAGCTTGCTAGAACATTGAACCCAACTAGTACCTCAGGAACTGGAACATACTTTTTTTCATACCAGTCTTTGAGTCGTGCATTCATTTCTCTAATTTTATTTGCATTTTACCAATTTGCTCATGGCTCAAGTAATTAACCAGAGATTATTAATTTTGAGAATTTTTTTTGCAGTCCAGCTCCTCATACAGCCTATGCAGAATCTGTTTTCTCGTTCTGTTTATACCTATATGGAACACATTGACTGGATCATCTCTTTCCCACAGGAAGTTCCCTCCAGCCCTGAGCAGATGTCCTGTACTTTGGCATTGGGCAAGCAACCCAGCCATTTGGACTCTCACATTTTGCTGCAGTATCAATCCTCCTCACTATACTGCCCCCTACTCCCAATATATTCCTTATCTTTATGGTTCCCCTTCCATATGAATGGCTTCTTGTACCACAGTGTCACGGTCAGTTAGCTCAAACATCCTTCAGCCCTCACTCTCATCTAGTCAAGATTCAAGTACCTCAAACCTGTTGAACAATTTCAAAAGCTGAAGTTCCTCCACCTCTTGGATCTCCACATCTGCCTCACCAGCAGGCAAACACCCCTGATCCTGACCAAATCAGAAGACCCTACCCATAGTTATCCAGGTAACTTTCCCCCTCCCTGATACCACTTAGTGGTCTTCAGCTCATAAACTATGAGCGATGTTCCTTGAGCCATAGATGCTTCCTGTGAATGGGTTTATCCTGGATCAGACTGGCATGCAGAGCTCTTGCATCCTGCATTTTCAATACATCAATTGCCCTGCCATCTTCATTGTGCCATTATTAATTTATAATTCATAAACAGTACTACTCCTTATAAAACTCATAAACTTAATATATACCAATGAAATCTTAAAATACTGAAATATTTCCTGTGTTTTAAAAGGTGAGAAAAAATACGCTCAAGAAATAGATTTAGGCTTAATTTAATTAGGTTAAAAAAATTCAACAATCTTGAAATTTGCCCACACAATCCTTCCCATTATTTGTTACATATTTGTATTGCCAGACAATATTGATTTTTATCGTAAGCCACAGGATTTTTTTTTGTTAAATATAATAATTGGGAAAATTACTTACTTTTTCTACTGAAGAAAAAAAATTAGCAAGGCCACTAATAATGACAAAGTTGAAATCCAAATCATAGCACAGAAAGAATTACCATTTAAAGAAATGGGGGAGTTACTTACCCCAGGTAAACAAGATTAGATCACAGTGACTGCCACCACTATTGGTGCATCTTTACAGATAATCTAACCTACTCAGCAATTGAAGTTTTACTGATTTGTTGAAGGTAAAGTCCGGCTTGGAGTGTTCCAGCACGTCATACATTGGTTAAGGTTTATAAAGCCCTTTAGAGAAAGCAATCCAGAAAAGTGACTGGAGTCTCAAGAAACAAATTCAAAATGCAGAAGCCCACCTCTACAGATCCAGAAGACATGACATTTGGGAACTCTAACAGCACTCTCACTCAAAAGCACAGTTGCAGCTCAGTACTGCTCACCATTTGTGTTATTTTCCAGTGGCTTGCTATAACAGCCATGTGCTGCCTCATCTTTTTCTACATTGATGTGCTAAAGGAGGTAAGTGCATTGTCTCAAAATGCTCCTGTCATTTGGCTAATTTGAAAGAGAACATTTTATTTGGTGATTTAAGTAAGGAAATTATCACACAATTCATGTCAATTATAGATACCTTTCATGTATCTCAATTTATTGGAAGCTGAGGGGTGACCTTATGGAGGTCTACAAAATTATGAGAGGTACAGATAAGGTGGGTAGTCAGAGACTTTTTCCCAGGATGGAAAGGTCAACTACAAGAGGGGGAATGTTTTTCGGAAAATCTTTTACACAAAAGGTGGTGCATGCCTGGAATGCACTGCCAGTGGAGATGATGGAAGCAGGCAGTTTAGCAATGTTTAAGGTGTATCTTGATAGACACATGAATGGGAGGTAAACAGACAGGTAGAAACCATGCATGGGCAGTAAGTAGCTGGTGTAGATAAGGATTAGGAATCAGCACAGGCTTGGTGGCTGTGCTGTATTGTATTATTGGAAGTTGATGTTGTCTGTCATAAATCTCCTTATGGAATAGCAGAAGGTCAGAGATGTAACAGCTGAATTTTCTTTTAAATTTAAAAATCAGTAGCTCAATGAAAACAGTCTGAGGTGAAATTTGGTTAAACTTACAAGCCTCTTCACTCTACAGTGATTTGATATGTACAAAGCAAGCAATGTTGTTCAGGTCAAAGATTTTTAGTTCAATTGATGCATCTTCTACTCATGCAATGATACAAAATGAAGAACATGTAATACTGTCCTGCTGCACCTTACTTCATTTGAATCCCTCAACATTTTGTCCTGGATGTCCTACATGTCCTCAGGCAATCACTTCTGGTTTTGTAATCTTTTAGTGCCTGATTGTCTGTACTTTATCCAAAAACCAAACTGCTATCTTTGGCACTTATGCTTTAACTTTAAGAGCCTTTCTCACTATGTTTAAAAGAAGGCCTGATATTCTTACACACTGAAGGTGTTCAAAGCGTTTTCTAACTAGTGTTTTCAGAATACTCGACAAAATAAACATTTGATTATTTTTTATTTAACCTATTTTTCTAATTAACTTGTTCAGAGATGTTATCACACACCTCTGGAGCAGGTGGAACTTAAACCTGGGCCTCTTGACCGAGGGGTAAGGGCACTACCACTGTGCCACAAGAGGGCCCCTTAACCAGTTGATTACTGATTGGTTGTTTTGAGAAATGCCTGCTTCATATTTACACATTAATTACCTCACTTCCAAATACTTGCTTTAAAATAAAAGCTAAACATTCTAACTGTAAATGTAATTGCTTTCTAAAATTCCTTCTGTGAAAAAAAATGCAGAAAAACAAAGGCACCATTTTAAATAAATTTGACCTTTTATTTTGAAGGACATAAACACTGAACTGCTGGAAAAGATGAAGAATATCACCTCTAACAGTAAGTAAAAGTTTCTGTCTCAGTTTTTTTACTGCGCTTAGATTCAATTGGGATGCTTACCTCTGCATGTTTGATGGAATAAGCTAACATATTCATTGGAAGGGGCAGGAAAGCACATTGCACATCAGTGAGTTTTTGACTGCTGCAGCAGTATGCAATAACTAGCTTATTATTATTTTTATCAGATAAGCTTCACAACCTATCTGATTTCCAAGTGGAAAGAAACTAATCAGTTGCATGAATACAGTGCAATTATACCACACCTACATGCATGTTAAATGAAGCAACAGTTATTTATTCTGTGTACAAAGCCTTACATAACATAGGTATATCTACAAGTTAATAAAGAATTCAACCTATTTGAAAATGAACTCTAAAATGTATTTGCATTGATGTCAATCGTTATAAATTACAATATATTGTGTTTACTTGCTTTTATTCTGAAGAAGTGTATTACAGAAGAAAAAAATAAGTGACTGAGTAACATGACCACAGACATGAGATCGTATCATTGAGAGATAACCTGCAGCACTTGTTACAAAAGAATTGTTTGTATGTGAAGACATTGTGAAACACAGACATTCCTTTCATTGGATTAGTGCCCAAAGTTGCTGCAACTATTCAACTGTAAATATGTGTATATTTATGTATATTTTTTCAGATTTTCAGACCACTGGAAATGATAAATTCAAGAGCTCAGTCATGAAATCAGAGAAGCCAATCGCTCATTTTACTGCACTTGCAGGTCAGTATTAAAATAAAGCTTCATGTGAGCTAACTGCTGAGTGCTAGTGATACAGATGATATTCCTCAACTAACTGGATAAACTTAGCTCAAGTGCTATATCAAATTGAACATAAGTAATAAAAATAACAGCCAAACATATGTTCCACTAAGTGACAGATCGACCTACATCAACAAGCTTTAGTTTTCATTCTGTCTTTTAAGTGCTGAGACACAGAGATGTTAAAAATATAAAAAGGTTGTTTGATTTTGGCAGTTAGAACAAATCTAAAGGGTGAAAGTTTAAAATTCATAAGCAAGATTAGAAAAATTCTCCCCTTCTCTAAATACTGATGTACAGAACTGGTGGGGAACAGGTGAGATGTGAACAATGCAGGCTGCAAAACATTAGTTTGTATCAGTATTAATGCTTACACAGCAATTGCAGGTCAGGACTGGGGAGTATGTGGCGGGTTTTCTTTTTGAGCTTGAGTTTCAATAGTGCCCACCCCTCAGAATTTGCTTTGGCCCAGATCATTTTCCTGGTGCTATACTCATTATGTGCACAGAACAGGGTACCCAAAGAGATTCTGTCGCCAGAGTGAATGAAAAAGCTTCAGCACCAGAAAAGGGGCAGAGACTGACTGACAGATCTAGAAGATCCCCCAGCCAAGAGAGAGGCACTCAGCTGTCAGCTTTCAGCAAGCACACCTCTAGGGCTGACTGCAGAGGAATAGGATTGCTATGAGCGGTTCGACCATTACCAGGAGAGTTATAGAGGTCTACAGCATAGAAAAAGGCTCTTTGGACCATCGAGTCTATACCTGTCAAGAACATTCAGCTAACTATTCTAACCCCAATTTCCAGCAGTTGGCCCATTAGCAGCACAAGTGCACACCCAAGTACTTCTTAAATGTGATGAGGATTTCTGCCTTTATACCCATAAAGGTAGTGTGTTATAGATTCCCACCATTCTCTGGGTCATTTGTTTTTCCTCATACACCCTCTAAACTTCCTGCTTTTTAATCTTAAAACGTCCTATCCCTTAACTGAAGGCCTGGGACCATAATGCTGGCACCTCCTTCTATGAGGAGGATCATAGGAGCAGTTCTCACCAGCCATATTGCTGGCTCCGGGAAGCAGTTATAACTGAGTCAAATGGAGGCAGAAAAGAGGAAAATGCCCATGAGTGAGGAAGGAGCAAGCAGGGGCTGATTTAGATCATGGAATAAACCTGACACTGCACGATCCAAATATTCCAACAAACTGTGACAGCATCCTACCCAACGTTGTGCAGGAGAATGTCCTCCATAGTCCAAATACTTCTTGTAATGGAATTATTCACTGCTGATATTCATTCTAGAAGACAGTAGGGAGCATGGGATGATAATCTAGAGATTTGGTTTGACAGTTTTTTGGGCAAAGTCATTGGCCTTTGTACCTTTGACTCCTCCCCTTGAACAATGTAAATAATGGTAGGATTCACAGATTGATTAACAGTCTAGTGATGGGTGCAGGAAGGGAAACCACTCTGTGACTGCTTTCATAAGTGAGCAAGAAAATATAACTTGGACTGTTCCATTTTCATTCTATTATGTAGTGCTCTACTTGACCCATTTAAAGACTGAGTCATTTCCTTTAAGATTCCCTTATTTGGTCCTGTGTCTGACTGTACAAATCTGATGGATTAATTATTGATGTCCTAGAAATAAGATGCAATGACCAGCTTATTTTCCCATTATTCTTCACTGTATGTTTTTCCTAAACTTAAGCCTGTCATTTGCCTGATTTCCTTTGGCAGATTTCCATAATACATCAGGCCGTCTGTTCTTTGAACACACAAAAGGACACGCTTTCAAAACCCCTGACATGAAGTATAATGAAGCTGGCTACTTGGTGATTCCCACCAATGGTATCTACTTTATTTATGCACAGGTGACCTTTAATTGTTTACAGGACTGCTCCAAGCTCATTCAGCAATTCTTTGTCTCAATTTTCAAGAAGAACAATCATTACCAGGACCCAGAAGTATTGCTGAAAAGCTATGTCAGGCCTCAAGCCAAAGGTGATGACTTTGTGAAGATTTCAACCTACCAGGGTGGAGCCTTCAAGCTGTATGCTGATGACCATATGTATGTTGAAGTTCCCAAAAACAGCCTCATTTCAGCGCTTGAACAAGAAACTTACTTTGGGGCTTTCTTGCTAAAGCCTTCTGCCTCAGAATAAGCAAACTGCCAATTAAGCTATGTTACTAGAAAGCATATTCATGCATTTACACATACACTTATATGTTTCTTTTGAGTGCAATCTGTCTGGTTCAACAGACTGTTCCAATTGATGATTTACGGGAAGTTTATGCTACAATAGCACAATATTTGTTTTGAGTTACACTCCAATGAGTGATTTATCATTTTGTTTTGTAAATTGTAAGGCCAGCTTTGTGTCTTATATTGGTTTTAGTTCTCACACAATAAACATGTTCTCCATGCTGCACATGTTCACATCTTTCAAACTGTTCTAGCGTTCACATCTTTCAAACTGTTCTATCCTTATCGTGGAAGATAAAACTATGGCGCAATAAAGTAAAATAAGTCACTATTCTCTTTTGAGAAATCGCGATCAGCAACAGAGTGTAGGACACACCAGGTTTGTTCCACGGTCTCGACCCATCCTTCCCAAAATGAGGTTTGAGAGCACAAGTGGGATTGTGAGCCTTGGGCGTAGCTCAGAAGCAGCAATAGTTCCATATTCCCGTCAACCGTGCCCTCACAGGTTTCCTGGCCCACTTCACCTGCTCTCAGACGTTCTTCCCCCACCCTACTATCACAATTCTCCTGAAGGGAGTAACAATAATTTTAAAGCCTTGAAATGGGGTCACAATGAAAACAGTTTGGGAAGCACTGGTCTGGACCATGAGCAGCTGCTCCTTCCAGAAAACTGGTGGAGTTTGTTGAATGAACATATTGGTCCTTTGAATTAGAGAAGGGGAAAATAATCCAGGGTTCCCAATCTTGATCACTGTCCCATGGCCCTTTACAAGAAACCTGTAAATCAAAAACACCAGGAAAGAATAGACTAGCTTTAGACATGAAGAGGTCACAAGGAAATGGCCTCATTCATTGTCAAGACTGGGCTATTGCTGAGCTGCAAGGGGGTAATAGAGAAACTGTGCTGGACTAAAATTTGGAAAATACAGGAAGGCACAAAGGGAAGATAATAGGAAGGAAAAATTGTCCAAATGGATGAATAAAATATAGAAGTTCTAGTCAAGAATAAAAAGTAATTATATCTTAGATATAGACAATTGGGATCAACTGAGTCTTTTGAAGAGTATAAAGAGTGCAGGAGCATTCTTAAGAAGGAAATTAGGAAGGCAAAGAGGGGATATGAGATAGATTTGGCAGATAATCCAAAAAGATTCTACAAATACATTAAGAGCAAAACAGTAACTAAAAGGAAGTAGGACCCCTTAAAGATCAATGAGGTCGAACGAGGTTAAAGCTTAGGAAATGGGAGAGATATGAAATGAATGTGTGTCAGGTTTTAATTTTGAGAAAGAATGGAACTCAGGGAGAGAAATATTGATGTTTTAAAAACAGTTCACATTACAAAAAAAGGAAGTGCTGGAGATCTTAAAAAAACAAATGTAGATAAATCCCCAGGACCTGATCAAGTCTGGCGGCATGGTGGTTCAGTGATTAGCACTGCTGCCTCACAGCACCAGGGACCCAGGTTTGATCCCACCCTAGGGTGACTGTCTGTGTGGAGTTTGCACATTTTCCCCGTGTCTGTGTGGGTTTCCTCCGGGTGCTCCGGTTTCCTCCCACAGTCCAAAGATGTGCAGGTTGGGTGGATCGGCTGCGCTTAATTGTCTGTAGTGTCCAGGGATGTATAGCTTAGGTAGATTAGCCATGGATATGCAGGGTTACAAGGAAAGGATAGGGCGACGTATGTGGGATGAATCGCCTGCTTCCACATTGTAGGGTTTCTATGATTCTAAGCGTATCCCGGGATGCTGTGGAAAATTAGGAAGGAAATTGCAGAATATTTGTATCATCTATAAGCACAGATGCAGTACTGGAGGGTAGCTTATGTGCCATTGTTTAAGAGAAACTAAACTATAGACCTATGAGTCTGACATTGTGGTGGGTAAGTTGTTGGAGGTGATTCTGAAAAATAGGGTTTACATGCATTTGAAGAGACAAGGATTGATTAGGAATAGTCAGTATGATATTGTGCAAGGAAAATTATGTCTCACAAACCTGACTGAGTTTTTTTAATGAAGTAACTAAAAACGTTAACTTGGACTTTACTAAAGCCTTTGACAAGGTTCCATATGGTAGACTAATTACTTAAGTTAGATCACATGGGATTCAGGGTGAGCTTGCCAATTGAATACAAAATTGACTCTATGGTAGGAGACAGAGGTTGGTGGTGGAAGGTTGTTTTTCAGACTGGAGACCTGTGACCAGCACTGTCCCACATGGATCGGTAGTGGATCCATTTTTGTTTGTCATTTATATAAATGATTTGGATGAGACAATAGAAGGTGTGGTTAGTAAGCTTGCAGATGACACCAAAATTGGTGGTATAGTGGACAGTGAAGAAGGTTATCTAAGATTACAGAGATCAATTGGATCAATGGGCTGAGAAGTAGCAGGTGGAGTTTAATTTGGATAAATGAGAGGTGTTGCATTTTGATAATTCAGACAAGGACAGGACTTATACAATTAATGGTAGTGCCCTGGGTAATGTTGTAGAACAGAGAAACCTAGGAGTTCAGGTATGTTCTTTGAAATTTGGTTAAGAAGGCTTTTAGCACGCTTGCCTTCGTTGTTCAGACCTTTTGAGTACAGGAGTTGGGATATCCTATTGAGGTTGTACAGGATATTAGTGAGGCCTCTTCTGGAGTACTGTGTGCAGTTCTGGTCAACCTGTTATTGGAAGGATACCACTAAATTGGAGAGGGTTCAGAAAAGATTTACCAGGATGTCGCCAGGGATGGAGGGTTTGAGACATCAAAATAGACTGGAAAGGTTGGGACATTTTGCACAGGAGTGTAGGAGGTTGAGGTGTGACCTTATCAAGGTTTATAAAATCATGAGGGGTATAGATAAGGTGAACAACAAAGGTCTTTTCCTATGGTGGGGAGTTCAAAAGTACAGGGCATATTTTTTTTAAGGTGACAGCAGGAAGATTTAAAAGGAGCAACTTTTTTACACAGGGAGTGGTTCACGTGTGGACTGAACTGCTCCCAGAGAAAGTAGTAGATGCAGGTACAGTTACAACATTTAAGAGACATTTGGATAAGTTCAGGAATAGGAAAGGTTTGGAGGGATATGGGCCATGTACAAGCAGGTGGGACTAGGTTAGTTGGGAACATGGTCAGCATGAACTGGCTGGGCCCAAGGATCTGTTTCCATGTTGTATTTCTCTGTGACTTTCTGACTCTCTGACTCAAAAAGTAAGGGTGCCACAAATTGAAATGTTGAAAGTGTGTTTGTAAAAGGCAATTGTTAAATATAAATATAATCAATTTTTGGCTGAGCTACTATGACTGCCAAGCCAAAAAAAATTGAAAAATCTATTATAGGTAGAGGAAATATGCTTGTAAAGAAAACACAGAGTATCAATGGGCTTTCTGTTCGATGGCTACTTGAATAGATATACTGCTACCTAAGGTGAATGTGATGAAGGTTAAGACAAAGTCAAACAGCAAGGCACGAAACCAAGCAGGCGCCACACGCCAGGTTCAATTGCTTTCAACAGTACCTCAGAGCCAGATTAAAATACAATGATCCATTGATACGATATACTAGTTAGATGGTCCAAAATTCTGAGATATTTTGCATGTGGAACTGCAGCTGATTGACAGCTATCCCATAATGATCACTCATAAAACTTTACAGCTTTTCTACACCTAGTGCCAAGATTAAAAACTTTGCCACACTTATCTATTCCACATATCAAAACAGACACAGCGACTTACTTGACATCCAAAATAAGCTATCGGTTATCACCAGTCAACCCAGTTCTCTGATAAATGCACCAGTGCTCTGATACAAGGCAATACAATATCTGAAGCTGCACTGTCAGCTAGTTATTGGCCTAAAAGCTGAGCAATATCACGACCTCAGCAACCAGGAATTATCAATGTTGCACCAAAACTATCTACAAATGTTATTAACACAAAGGATGATGGTTGTGGTTGTTGAAGGACTTAAGGCTTTCTGATTGGAGCAAAGGCCATTGGAGAATGATAGCTGCACAGACAGCTTGTTTCGACGCTGACCAATAGTGGGGGAGATCTGTTGCTCATACGTACATCCAGTGAAACACAATTATGGCTTAATCAAGACCTCTACATTCAAATTAAATTCTTAGCTGTGGTTTTAATTCATTATAGCCATTTTACTTCAACAGCACAGCAGAATTGCAATTAGAAGTCAGAGCTTTTTCAGCTTGTGACTGTCTCATTTACCCTCAGTCACTAAGCCTCCCGTGCTTTTGTATACGCTGAGGCATTGATTCAGCAGATTTAAAAAATGTTCAAAATTTTGACTGCTCATCAAAAGCTCAACAGAAGCAGCAGCATCCCATCATGAAAGTGAAAGAGCCAAGGTTTTCAACTTGAGATACAATCTTGTTGACTGAAAGTCCTTATCGAGCAAGGAAGGAAACTGCACTGTGTAAATTAAAGCTACGTGCTCAAAAGACCAAAGCTATAGGAGAGAAGTAGGCTATTCAGCCCATCGAGTCTGGTCCTACTCCTGCAGCAGTAAGGGAATCTCATGCCCTGTTTCACCTGGAGGTGCTGGGTAGACGATAGGAAAGTTGTAATTCATTTTGCAGACTGTGCCAAAGGATGCTGTGGCACCAGCCTGGGCAGAGATAGCGGTGGTGTCTGTATGATGTCCAGGGTTAACTGCAACATCTAGCAGTACAGAATGAAGGGTAATGACCACTGGCACTTCAGAACAGTCAGTGCATCGTTTCTACCCTGCTACCTCAAGCCCACTGTTCACACCAACTTTATCACTCCACACACCTCCTACCAAAGCTCATTGGCTACAACTCTCACTACTACAATCAACATGTCTACTCAATTGCTCTCACTCAGCTCATCCTCCCAAAATACTCACCCTTCCTTCCTTTGCATTTCCCTCATTCACTGGGGACACATCGCCACCTGTCCTATTGCTGCATTACCCCAATGGATCTCCCAT